CGGTGCTTGGCTGTGCCGGTTCCGTGGTTGTCAAGAGAATGAATGAAGAAGCCTTCCGTAATTGCGATCCTCTTTGAGCAGAAGATGGTGCGGACTTGGCAGGCTCGGGGGTGGAAGTCCTAATCAGGGGATGGACGGATGCCGGGCCACCCAAGGAGCGTATGACGACGTCTCCGCCCTCGAAAGTGAGCGCTGAATCCCCAGAGCTCAGTTCTGTCTCGGGAGACACCGGATCCGCATTGACTAGGACAGGATATAATGCTGCGAGTAACAGGCGAACATAGTCTGACGACAGCGCAAAGTCTCGGAAATCGACAGAGCGGGTATGGAGGTCAGTGACAAAGCGAATCACGGTCTGGAGAATAGCAGAGTCGCCATCGAGACGATCCACAGCCGGACGCAGCAGATCTAGAGAAAAGACACATTTAGTGATCCGCAAAGAAGTTCGTTTCGGTGCACATCATGTCACAGGCACACTTACTCGGGCTTTCCGTTTCGCGCTGATATGACATGGACCTGGCATGTGGCCGTATGACTGGCCTTGCCGGAGATCTCACCAGTGGCATAGATGATGGTGATTCGGGGTCGTCCTGATTTCTAAGGATGTCCTTGAGCCCGGCTTCCATCATGGCAGTAAGGATAGGAAGTGCGTCAGGGTACATCACTTTGGAGTTCCCAAAACACTCAATCAGCGTGAAGAAGTCGAAGGTTTTGTCGAAGTCGATGTCAGCCACATCGTAGCCAAACAAGATGCTGAAACATATCGGCCACAGCGTGGGAACATTCCACCAACGCTTGAGCCGGTGTGCCATTATGCAGAAGCCACCTGTCTTACCGGCGAATTTGCCGATGTAGCTCGATCCATGGACTACAAGTAGCCGTGCAAGAATCTCGCTGCCGTAGACGACGATTTCCGCATCGTCCTCGGTTAGAAGGTAGAGCAGCCACTGCGCCATCATCAGTCTAGAGCCGCCATGTAGTGGCTGTGAGTCAAGTACCTTGTTTGTGACCGTTTTTGCAAACCTGCGGATAATGGCGTCATTGCCTTTTTCGCACAGGAGCTGGCAATACATCTCCAGAATCCGAATGCCTATTTGCCTGCGATTCAAAAGTGTGACAGCACCCTGTGAGCCGCCACCGAGCTCAAGAGCCGGTTTGCGAACGACATTTATCGGTGCCAGGAGGCCTCCTGATGTCCCCGGCTTGGGCGTCCTAGGTAGCGATTTCGACGGCGTGTGGAATGCATACGTGATGAATAGTGCGATGCTTCGGTGAACTTCGGTATTGTAACCGCATCTCACCAAACTCTCGATGGCACCCATGAAGTACTGCACAACGTTTTCGGGAAGCGGCTCAGACTTGATCGCATCCAACAGTCTCTTGACGATGCCTGTGCAAATTCCTGTCAGTGTGCGCCGCATTACAGATTCCCACAGTGCGGTTACTTACGCATTCTGAGAAGCCTCCTGTTATTGTACTGGTGGTACTTGCTTCGTACAGCAAATGAGACGAACTGTTTGTAGTAAAGCTCTTGGATGATTGGCGTGCACTTCCTCCAGCCGTCGAAGTCGACAAGCAAGATTCGATAAGCAAGTGGGTTGATAATGACTGAATCCAGGGGGTCTCGATGCTTGTAGCCAACGAAGTCGAGCACGAGGCTCAGCAATCGAAAACAAAGCTTGTCCTTGTCGTCATTTTCCAGTTCCAGCCGGGGGGTTGCGAGTGTGTTGGCCGACCCTGTAAACCCCAATTTGGTTCGCAGGAGAAGTGCCAGGACCTGATAGCCTCCGGCACTCTCCATGGCTTCACTATTTCTCCAGCTTGAATTGATACATTTGAACACCATCTCGACCGCTTGCAGGAGAGTTTCAACAGTGGAAGCCCGGTCAATGAGTTTCAGGGCTAGAGGAGTAAAGCCTGCCAGTCGCCATAATGCGTCATCGAATAATTGTGGCGTGACGACGACTGGATTGCCCGCCAAGATTGCAACTCCATTCGAGCGCACAAGTGCATCGTTAATTGACGGTAGCGCGGTATTAATCGCGATACCGGTGCCGGATTTGAGCACCATCTGTGTAAGAGTTTGCGCAGGACCGCGAGACAAAGCCCGGAACAGCTGCGAGTCACCAAAACCACGCGTCTCACGAAATATGGAAGACGGCATAATGCTCAGCAGGATACGCTGTTCGGGAAGAAGATAAGCAGCCTTGTGACGGATGACTTTCATGATGTCGGAATCGGCTTCTTTGCCAGTGGTCAACAGTTCGTTCTGAAGACCAAGAGCAGCCGACGCCTTGTATGTCTGAAATGCCCCGAGGCAGTCCTGAAAGTTTCCTTGGTAACCAGGTCCTAGACGGCTTGGAACAGACAGAAGTTCGTCGCTCAAGACGTCCTCGAAGACATGGGCGCTGGCGAGGGACCACTTGGACTTAACCAGACCTGGACCCACGAGACCAGACAAGTCTTTGGGGGTACCCAGAAATGCCTGCACGGGCATTGTCTTATTGCTGCTCGACCCAAAAGAGGCGAAGCTTTCGGTGCTGTTTTGGGCCAGTGGCGGCTGACTTGGGTATGCGGCTTTCAACTGCTCCACAAACTCGCCGTTCACGTACAACGAAGCCTTGCTTGCAGTGATAGCCTTTGGTCTTCGGTGGGCAATGGCAACGTGGTACCACTTGTTCTCCTTGAACATGTAAGACTTGAAGCGGACACTAGGGCGACTCGATCGCACCGAGGTCTGTAGAATGAAGTTGTGTGTGTCCTTCTCGAGATAGGCCAGCAAGAAGCAGGTCTGGGTCGAGTCGAAAACACCAAACAACGTAGTGTGGCTGTGTGGATCAAATTTGTCCACTCTAAACCACGCAGCGAACGTATATCCTGATGACTGTTGTGGTGGAAACGCGCGGCCCAGACTTGGGAGTTCTATGGAGGAATGGCCATGGAGAGACAGGTCGAATTGTATGAATGGGGGATTGTGATGGCGGTCCGTCATCTCCAAGCAGAAGTCAGAAGAGCGTGGCGACGAGTTGAGTATGAGCGTCTGCGCATCGGTCAAGTCATTGAAGCCGCAGGACATAAGCGCACGGCAGAGATCAAGAATCACTTTGTCCTCGGGGTCCGTGAAATGCGATTCGTCGTTGAAAGCCAACCTGAGCAGTCGTGAGAGGATTCCAGCTTCGTGGACACAGTTGAGATTGTACTCGGATACGTCGATAATGGCCGCAATAATTTTGAGAACAAGGAGAGAGGTGATGCTCTCTTGTCCGCTCGACCCGCGGGGCATTGACTCCCAAAAGTCCATGATCATGCGTGTGATTTCCGGGTTCTGCAGAATCGCGCTCGGCCCGACTATTTTGGCCACGGCAACCTCGATCGCCTTGACCTGTTCATCTTGCATCGTACCATCGTCACTCGCGTTGTCATCCTCGCCATCGTTTTGACTAGACGCTGATGCATCGCGGCGCGAAGGAGCGCCTGACAAGGCAATCTCGCAGCAGAGCTCGTCTACCGCAGGATTGCCAAGGGCGAACGATAGAAGCTTGCCAAAAAGTTGGCTGACTGTCCAAGTATCCGAATCACTTCCGCCAAGCCCGATGCTCGCAATTGTCTGCTCGAGAGCCTCCCATCCGCCACCCTCGACCCTTGTGCGGAAGTAGCGTCGATTACCGGGGTGGTTACGGAACGATGCCGCGAGGAGGCTTAGAGCATTCTCGAGGAACGTGAAGAAAGCCTCCTTGTCATCCTGGCTCCGCTGACTCGCGTTGTAGAACCCAGAGAATGCTCTCAGGGTATCGAAGAGGCGCTGGAAACCGTGGAGATGTCTGAAGTCGTCTTGCACTGAACTCGGGGTCTCAAATGCTGAGAGGTGCTGCTGCACGCGGGCAAGCTGCTTCGACACCCGGGCTATGTCTGGGAAACCATCTTCGCGAGCGGCGACGGCAGCGGCGACATCGTCAAGAAGTCGCTGGAAAACTTCTGTAGCCTTGGAGACGGGCAATGGCTTCGAGGCTGACGTAGAAGACCTGTATCGACTTGGCCGGAACGACATCTTTGTCGAGATGCGGGAGTTGCTATGGCGATCTAGTGGGTTGGTCGTCGGGTCCCCGCATGGTATCGTGGCCGTAGAAGCTAGTTCATGGGAACAGGACTCGCATCGAGATCCCGCGGTGGCACATTGGGCGTTGTTTCGTTTTCTACTCAGACTGTTGGCCAGTACTTTGCGAAAGCAGGGGGTTGTATGCCGTTATCGAGAACTGAGGTCGCAGTAACGCAGGTGAGGCGCTGAGGTTGGACCCAGCGATAAGGTGCTGCCTGAAGTATTGGTTGGCTGACACAGGGAGGTCGAGTCGTGCAGAGCGGCTCACGCGCAGGAGCGGTTGCTGACAGTGAGCAGTAGAGGGACGACTCACGGAATCTATAGCAACACGACCGCTGTCAGCTTTGACCTCGACCCTGGATTCGAGGATTGAGGCGCAACCTCAGCTTGGGGATGATGCAGGTGCGGAGCGCTGCACAGCCCACCATCGGCCAGTCCCACCTTCTAAGATCTCCCCACTCGCTATTGTCGCAGCTCAAGCTAGGAGCTGCTCCAGCTGCGGGAGCTAAAATGCACACCAAAACGGTGATAAGTAGAGCAATTTTATAAGTCCTTCGGCAGACAAGTCGCACGTGCTTGCCCGGTCAAAATAACTCACCAGTATCAATGAAAGTCTCTGCAAATATTGCGGCGAGGTGAATCCTGGTTTAAGTCAAACGGATTATCGAACAGGATCTTGTACCAGGTGAGATCTCCAAATGAGATCCGTGTTGCGGCACAAGCTTTCAGTACGGCCGGGCGCTTTGACTCGTGTTAGCTGTGTACTTGTTTACTCACGACACGGATCTCTATAGACAAACTTCCAAGAGTGCTGAAACTGACGAAACATGCAACTCAGAAATTGTAAAATTGGTATAGCGCTACTTTCGGGCATTTCTGTTCATGATCCATCCAATCATATAACGGGCGCTTGGTCTAGGGGTATGATTTTCGCTTCGCATCATCGTTTCTAACAGTGATAAGATTGTGAAAGGTCGTGGGTTCAATTCCCACAGCGTCCAGTTCTTTTGGTTCTTCTTTTGCCATCTGGTCCTAGAGTCCATAACGAGTTACGATCGAGGAGGCATCAATTTCGTGATGTCGTGTTCATTTTTGCTGCTGCTGTGTTGAGGGGTAGGTTGTACGTGACCGCTGTGGTGTTTCGGCAGGTACGGGGAATGTGCTAGCGTAAGTACAGGCGTGCTTGCCTGGACTTGGTAGGTTAAAATACTCGTCGGAGCATCACATGACCTGTGGACTGTGTGGTATCGTGTTCAACGCTTTAGCTATGCTTAACATGCGTGTACGGGGAGTGTCTAGCGTGGGCCTGTAGACTCATGTTCTGCGTTCGAACTTGAATAACTGCCTCGAGCTTGGGACATAGTCGAAACAGCACACTTGAGAATCTTTACTTCCGCTGGTGTAAGCCTTTGTGATAATTCTCACTACAAGATTCGTGATAATGAAAACGATTGTATATATTCAATGCTATTCTCAAAAATCAACGAAATGTCTGATGCCCTCAGATTAGCTCTCAGGTTCTCATGAGCGACCATTCCCGAGTCTTGCGACGTCGTTCAGGCTGCTTGCAAATTTGGCTTTTTGGATACTTGGTCATCACTGGGCGTGCTGAATGGCTGGCCTGCAACAAGGCAAGGCATAACAACCGAGAAATGAAAGAAATAACAAAAGTGGTCGTACAGGGAAAGTGTCCGCCTCCTAAAGTAACAACCCGCCAGGCTTCGACTGGCTCTCTCGAAAGAGACAAGACCCCTAATAGACCGGTTACCCTTCCCTCAAAGAGACGTCGCCACAGTTCCGATTGAAAACTATGTTAATAACCCTTCATCGAGCATCTTGCTTCTCTGAAGAGAAGGTTGGAATTATTCTCGGGGAATGAGTGTGTCGTCTCTACCGTGGTTTAGCGAACTTCGCCGGATGTCTCAGAGAAGGGCCGCCATGAGCTAGGCCGTGCCATACGAAGCCTGTGGTCTTTACCCGCGGCGTGGATGCTTCTCCCATGTGACACGCTCAGATTTCCGTTCTTGATGGGTTTGCTGTCATGCACCAACGAGAGAGTAAGATCTTGTTGGCTCCGTCTAGCTCTTGAGAAAGTGTCTTCATCGCGCAGAGATCCATTGACAAGCGGGTAAAAGCCATGAAATATCGAGGGTTGGTGACCCGAGAAAGGGGCGGGCGTGATGAGATGGAGGTGAAGCTATTGCTTGGACAAGCTGCCCTCGCAACCACCAAAAGCATGGTCAAACCAGTCAAGAAAAACGGCTCGCTGTGTCTCGCTCTTGAAGACACCAAGGCTGACCAGTGAGGCAAGGCTGGTATTGTGCTGGATGTTACTTGAACAAATGGCCGTGTGTCTTACCTTGAGCCCAGCATACCCTGACCTTTAGGATCTGCCTGCATAGTTTGGCTTCGTGACTTTCTTCGTCATGCCGGATCCATGATTCCTAGAGCGGACTTTTTTCCCAAAGCTTCAAGGTAATAGGGTAAAATTCAGGGTATACAGAACAGAATGCGTTTCTGGAACTGTGAGATGGTTGGTGGTATGTTGAAGATGGGAAGTTGCGCCGGAGTGGTGCAACGCTGGGCCAAGTCGCGTTGATGTGTAGCAGGTCCACCAGTCGCGCGTTCGGATCGCCTAATTGGCTGTGCTGCGCAGGAGCTCCGAGCGCCCCACCTCGAAATCCTCCCAAATGGGAGCTTGCCGTTCTTCGACTGAGTAGACCACGAGAACCATCAGACAAGACCAGCCAAGCGCAATCGACCACGCGCAAGCTCAGCACCTCGTCGCCTTGCCTATTCTACTATCCTCTTCCTCCCGTTGACCTTCACATCCAGGCAAAATGGTACGTCCGCCGCGGGAGCCCTCCCCTCGAAAGCTCCCAAGCCCAATGAGCCCTCCGAAAACTAACAATGATGTTCCTCTCCCCCCAAAATAGGCGCGCAATTCGGAAAAGGCGCAGTCCATGCTGTTCCGCTTCCGCGAGGCGCAGGCCGCGGACATGGGCATCATCGACGCCGGGCGCTCGCGGCGGCCCCGCGTCATCACCGAGGTCGACAGCATCCCCATCTGCGAAAAGTGGCGCGGGCAGACGCTCAAGGAGATCAGCCGCAAGGTCTCTCGGATCCAAGAGCCCGCGCTGTCCGACTACCAGATCCGCGACCTCAACGACGAGATCAATAAGCTCATGCGCGAGAAGCACATGTGGGAGGTGCAGATACGGAACCTGGGCGGGCCAAACTACATGCGCCAGGCGGGCAAGATATACGACGAGACGGGAAGGGAGATACCGGGCGGGGGGAAAGGGTACAAGTACTTTGGCAGGGCAAAAGAGCTGCCGGGCGTCAAGGAGCTGTTCGAGTCGGCGGCCAAGTTGCGACAGACGGCGAGCGAGAAGCCCCTCGACACGAGGGACGACCTGCGGAAGACGGTTGATGCGAACTACTATGGCTATGCACCGGACGAGGAGGGCGGCACGCTGCTGCAGTATGAGGCGGAAAAGGAGCGCGAGGCCGAGGATGTGCTTTTGCAAAAGTTTAAGCGTGGCAAAGTTGGACAGCCGCCGCCAGGCTGGGAGCCCTTGCCCGGAGATACTGGAGACGGCCACGCTTGGAATCTGCCGACACTGGAGGAGGTTCAGCAGGAGCTTGTTGACAGGCGGAGGCGGAAACTGTTGGACCAGCTGCAATGATTATGCACGCAGCCTTAAGTTATCATCGGAGTATCATTCCTAGCGTTTATTCAAACCTGACATGCAAAGGCGTTTATGGAGTTGAGTAAAATAATAAAACACATGCCTATTTCTCGCATTTATGAAGCAACCTAGCCGATTTATTATTCTCATTTGTGTAGAACCAATCATCCACGGTAATCATGTGCGAAAGCGAGCTCGCCGTGGGCATCTAATGTGCTCATCAAACTCTAACAGTCCCCAGTCCAGTTGTCCTTGATCCATGCCGCAAGTAAATCTGTGAAACTCCCCTCGACGTAGCGCTTGACGTTGCCGTCATCATAGTCTCCACCAGAGAACCGCAGGGCATTTATGATATAAGGCTGCAGATAGTCATTAAAGACCACGTCGACCTTTTCAGGCTCCCCTTCCTCCGGGAACTCAATGTCAGCAGAGATCACATTGGGCACCTGGAAGAACTGGATTGGAGAGTGTTCCGCATCGTCGCCGTCGTCACCCATGTCGTCTCTGGTAGTGTAACCCTCAACGAGACGAGGCTTGCTTGCATGAGAGTTGTGTCGGAATACGTTGTCTTGCTGGCCCTGCAATTGAAGGCTGCCTTTGGACTGTGTTCGGCTGTACGTCAAGAGTGGGCTTGGGTAGCGCAATTCGGGGATGGTCAACGCCTTTAGATCGTCAATAGCGAAAGCTGGGCCTCCCATGTTGAGCATTTCAATAGCTCTCTTAGCAACAGTGTAGGTCACATCCGGGACGAAGGAGAATCCACTTAGGAAGGGTGAGATGAGGTATGTTGTGTCTTTCGTGAAGGCGCCTTTGAAGATGTCGAAGCGGATTGCGCCGGTGTTCTGGACCGCGATCCGGGGCATCTTAGGGCGGTCTTTGTTCCTGACGATGTCGGGCAAAACTTGTTTTTCGAGCAGAGTAAAGACACTGTCCTCGCTGGGGTACTCTGCCCGAGTCATCCAGTAGTCCCTTGGCGCACAGCCGAACTTGTGATCGAGCTTGAGCTCTGTCCGGGCTTTCGTGATCATGTCGGTGACATTGCGACCATGGCTGGTGGGAAAGGTTGTCTCATTGAGGCCGGTGTGATGGTACAGACCCAGGAGATTGTTGTCGATGTAGCGCCTCTTGAAGGTTGGGCTGCCCTTGAGAGTGGCCATGTCGGTGGAAGTCTTCTTAATCCCGTCAATAGACATCCACCCAATGGTTTCGAAGTACCGTCCGCTGGCGATAGCATATGCCTTGCTATCGAACTTGCGCGCGTCGCGCACGTGAGCGTGCCCACCAAAAATGGCGATCGGCGTGTCCCAGTTTTGACTCCGGATGGCATCGAAGATTATTTCGAATTCCTTCATCCGAAGGCCTATGTGCCCGATCACCAGGAACACATCGGGCTTCTCCTGGATTGCCTTCTTGAACCACTCCTCCTTGACGGTCTCCTCAACAGGCTGGACCACGCTGTTTTTGGCGTTCCGGTCAAAGTTGAAGAGAAAGCCAAGGGCGACAACCTTGTAGCCACGATTCTTGGTTGTGAAGGTGCGGTAGCGCTGCGCCTGCGGAATGCTGTTGCCGCTCTGTAGTTCTATATAGTCGAGATTCGATGCTAGATACGAATTCTTGAATTTTGGGACGGTGATGTCGTGCTCGCGTTCTACAGTGTCTTCGAGGTACAACTCGTGATTGCCGGTGCAGATTGCGTCCATCGACTGCTGCCCGAAGATGTCGTATGTAAACTGGCCCTTTGGCTCGGAACCGTCGTAGAGGCCGTTGCCCTCGACTCGGTCCCCCGTATCGACGATGAGGAGATCGACGCCTCTCTCATCAGCTCGGCGATGCATGTGCTCTGCGAACGAGACATAGTCGCCCCAGTCCGCCGAGTACTGGCTTCTGTACGGGAGACGGGGTTCATGTCAGCGATGAAGACAGTGCTAGGGGAAGACATTGCCAAAACTGGCGTGCGTCGGTGACGCAACGTACTCTTGCAAATGACCGCCGTGCCAGCCGTGGGTGTCGGTTGTATGCAGGAAGTTGAGCTCTCCCCAATCTAGATCCCGCATGGGCGCCGCGACCGGAGCTGGTGCATCAGGCTGTACAGCTTGGCTCACCGATGCCAGGACAGCAGCTGCCAGCGAAGCCTTGCACAGCATTGCGGCGAATGGATGAACTGGACTGAAATGAAGCTGTGTTGTGCAATAAACGGGCCGCTTTCGTGATGGAAAGAAGCAAGAGTAGACAAAGCAAGAAACACGATTCGAAAACCGCGATGGCTGGTTGTAATGGTTCAAGTCCAGTGCACAGCTACTCAGGTCATG